CGCTCCGCGGGTCGCGGGCACAGAGCGCGCGGCGGCGTAGGGATCGTGAGGCCGAGACGCACCGCCAGCGGTAGCCGGCCCGGGGCGCGGTCCTCTCCTCGGCTAGCGCCTCATGCGCACCCGTTTCGCCCGGGCAGTCGCCGCAGCTCCCCGGGGCTGAGACGTCCGCTTCGTCACTGGAACTCCCGGTGACCGAGGCAAGAACCCAGCTGGTCGTGCACTGAGGCCAGTCGCCCCTGCTGTAAGTTTGTCCCTTGCTGCCCCGGACCTGTTGCGGGCGCCGCGGATTTCAGGGGCTCCTTGGCCTGAGGGGGTGTGTTCGCGAGGGGTGTGCGTGTGCCGCGGAGCCGGGAGCTCCCACTTAGGCGGGGGTGGGGAGCTGTTCTTGGGGCGGAGCCCTCAGTGTTCGCCGCTAAGCTCTCACAGCAAGCAGGAGCCCCGGGCATCACCGGAGAGGCCTCCCCTCACCGGCGCAGAGCCGGAGCGAGCTGCTGGGGCATCCGGGAGCAGGGCCACGGTATGATAGATCTCTCCCCTCTCTCCGCGGAAAGCAGCGCTTCCTTGGGAGTGGATGTCCCGCTGCCTCGCACTTCGCGGTCCAGGGCTGAGCCCGCGGGATCGTTGCCCCACGTTGCGCCCTACCGGCACAGGGGAGCACTGGGGCCACGTGCAGACACCGCTCGTGAGGGCACTTTCACTGCTGCGAAATGTCTGTGGGGAATGAATGAGAACCGGTTTCTGAAAATTAGTTTCTTCTCATGCGAGTGCAGTATTTGGCCTTTAGTGTACCATTATTAGTTTCGAAGGACGAGAATTGGTGGGCGGGGTGGAGATGAACCATTGAATTTGTTCAGCATGTAATTTGGTGTCGACCTGAAAAGCATGGCCAACGTGTTAAAGAGCGTTTACAAGTCTTATAGAGGACTGCATGGTGAAATGCTTTTCTTGTTGACAAGATCTTTATAATGTTTCATTGTTAACCAATAACGCAAATACCCCAGAAAAATCTGCCTAGTTTCTTCTTTGATTGCATGTAGATCAGGTTCAAAACCTTAAAGGGATGTGATGGGATGGGTAGAATTGGAGGCAGAGATTCTGGGTAAGGAACGTTAAGTGAACTAGAAGCCTTTTTGATGTTCACGGTGATAGCAGCCTTTTTCTCATCTTCTTTGCAGATGCAGGTTAAGTATATGTGTGCATTTGTTGGACACTTATTCGGCATACAAATGTTATTTCTCTGGTGGCTTAAAAAATGCCGAAAGGATGATTTGTTATACGTTGAAGTTGTGCTTGGTGACTGTATGAATGGTTTCTGCTGGTATTTTGATGTTTGCATAATGTTAAACCAGAAAGCAACTTGGTTCCCTTAGGTCTTCAGGTTTACCTTTTATTTAATAAAATTTTTGCTGAGTTTTGATTGTGACATGCTTCCCCATCTGGATGGTACCCAAGATGACAGGCTAGGTTATTCCTTCTGGCTTTCTGGACCAATCTGGAAACTACAGGAGCATCAACAAGGGATGCATAGAGATGCAAATCCTAGATACTAAGGTCTTCTTAAGTTTTCTTAAGTGTAGGTCTGGTTGTGTGTGATGTTTGGCAACTCCTGACATCTAATGCTTAGGGCAATGTGCTCTGGGCTTTGGGGATCGCCTGCTCAGTGTGCTTATGGTGCTTATTATACACCTTGTGCACAGCTCTTAAGCAGTCAGAGCTGCATTTGCTTTTAGCCTGAAAGGAGGCAGCTTTTGAGGTTGCTTTGGAAACATTAGCTTAAAAAAATAAAGTGTAGCTACTCATTTGGAATGTTTGTAAGTTTCTATATTAGGTTTACAAGTATTTATACCATCTTCTGAGGTTTAGGCTTAAAATCCTCCTCAAAGTACTTTAGATGGAATGTACAAATTCAAATGACTAGAGTGGTAGAACATCAGTGAAGCTAATACATGTTTTCAGACTTTAGAAAGCTGGTGCATTCACGTCGGGTGGTATTTGTTTTCTGGACCTGTAAAATGGACTAGATTGTTGAGGTGACAGTGAAGCTTGCTTGGCTCCTCACCATTTGTCATATCGAGGACACTAATGGAGACTAATGATGCTTTTGTAAAGTCTTGGCAACACCAGAGCCTAGGACTTTGTTGCTTATTTTCTTCCATTAAGCCATGTTTGACTCATAATGAAAAGTTATACTCCAAAAATAAAGGAAAATAAGTTGCATCACCTAATGGTATGTGGCCTGTGTGTTAAAGACAAGTTAGGCACCTGGCTTTTGTTCTTGTCCGTGACGGGCCACAGCTGGTCAGGGAAGTGCAATTTAGTATCTAGTCCATGAATCTGGTTACTCATTTGCATTTATTAATAATTACTGAGATATAAATTAAAAATAAATATCTCAACATTTGAGGGAAACAAGCAGGCCATGGGTTTCGGAACTGTTTGTTCTGTGTTTGGAGTAGATACTGTAACCATACAGTTTACTCTCCTGGGATAAACAGCTTCCTTAGGAATCCTTTGACAGGCAGGTTCTTGAAGGCTTTATTCCTTTGAAGTAACAGAGGGGTAGGGTTAAAAAAAACATGTGATTCAATTTTTGAACATAGGAGGGATTTTCTATATCTTTAGCCTACAATTTACTTACTACGGAAAGCCAAAGATAGCATTAGATTCTGCTATAATTTCAATTTAGAGACTGAGGAAAGCACTTTGGTTAGCAAATAAATTCTAGGGTGGCCTTAAATTAACAATGGCTGGCAAAATACACGCACATGCGCATATGTTGTGTTTTTTTGAGTTAGATAAAGCAATGTTTGCATTTTGAACTCTCTATACGTGGGTGCCAGCATTCGCAGGTACACAGGGATGGTCCTTGTGATACACTGTTTAATTGAAAGAGGAGCGGACGGATCCTTTGTTCTTGCAACTGGTTTTCAAAGAATTGATATAAAGCAGGAAGAACAGAAGAACAGCACTCATGAGTATGCTACTCAAAGTATTCTTCTTTTATGGGCCCAAATCCTCATTTTGGAAGCTGTCCAGAGCAAGAAAGATGGGTTGTGATTGAGGTCAGAATCTATTCTGTGTTTTCATGAAAGCCTGCTGATCAATATGTGGTAGTGTTCATATTGGGCCTCTTTTAGGATTTCTTAGTGGTAGAGCTGTCTGGTTAGAAATGATGCGTAACATTTACATAAGGGTCCCATCATTATAGAAGTTACGTAAGCCTGTGATTTTAATGTTACATTTCCCATTTACTGTATATTGCAGGGAGACCAGATCTTACCAAAGGAATTCTTAATGGAATTAATTAGTAGCTATTTGTTTTACACATGGCTTTATATCGCATAGGGCATTAAAGCTGGTGCCTGTCCTGGCGTTACGAGAGCTGGAGGCCTGGCATTTTAAGTGGCCCGCAGTGAATCAGCTGGACAAGGACAGCAAGCTGTGAGAATGAGACCTTGCTCCTCTCGGCTTGTGCTGACTTACGTTCTCAAGGACTTCAATATCCTGAAAGTTGGCAATCAGGTTTTCCAAGATGAACCTGCTTTCAAGCAGTGATTTTTTTTTTTTTTTTAACAGTGTATATAGTTCAAATAGCTCAACAGTATTACCATGAATGCCTCTCCTTATAGGTAGCTGTCTCTGACTGTACAGGAATGGCCATCCATTATTCGGAAAAGTATATAGGCAGCAGAGCTAACAGCGGAGTGTTCTGTTTTCACTGTCCAAAAGGTTTGTTGCTTTGTTCTGCTGTTCTACATATCAGGAGCACCCTGTTCAATGGTTTTGTTTTGTTTTGTTTTTAGGAGTGGAAACAAAATGTCAGTCAGTGTGCATGAGAATCGCAAATCCAGGGCCAGCAGTGGCTCCATTAACATCTATCTGTTTCACAAGTCTTCCTATGCTGACAGTGTCCTCACTCACTTGAACCTTCTACGCCAGCAGCGCCTCTTCACCGATGTCCTTCTCCATGCCGGAAATAGGACCTTCCCTTGTCACCGGGCAGTGCTGGCTGCATGCAGCCGCTACTTCGAAGCCATGTTCAGTGGTGGTCTGAAAGAGAGCCAGGACAGCGAAGTCAACTTTGACAACTCCATCCACCCAGAAGTCTTGGAGCTGCTTCTCGACTACGCATACTCCTCCCGAGTCATCATCAATGAAGAAAACGCAGAATCGCTCCTGGAAGCAGGCGACATGCTAGAGTTCCAAGACATCCGGGATGCGTGTGCAGAGTTCCTGGAAAAGAACCTGCATCCCACCAACTGCCTGGGCATGCTGCTGCTGTCTGATGCGCACCAGTGTACCAAGCTGTACGAACTCTCCTGGAGAATGTGTCTCAGCAATTTCCAAACCATTAGGAAGAACGAAGATTTCCTCCAGCTGCCCCAGGACATGGTAGTGCAACTCTTGTCCAGTGAAGAGCTGGAGACAGAAGATGAAAGGCTCGTGTATGAGTCTGCAATTAACTGGATCAGCTACGACCTGAAGAAGCGCTACTGCTACCTTCCAGAGCTATTGCAGACAGTGAGGCTGGCTCTCCTGCCAGCCATCTATCTCATGGAGAACGTGGCCATGGAGGAACTCATTACCAAGCAGAGAAAGAGCAAGGAGATTGTGGAAGAGGCCATCAGATGCAAACTGAAAATCCTGCAGAACGATGGCGTGGTAACCAGCCTCTGTGCCCGACCTCGGAAAACTGGCCATGCCCTCTTCCTCTTGGGAGGGCAGACTTTCATGTGTGACAAGCTGTATCTGGTAGACCAGAAGGCCAAAGAAATCATTCCCAAGGCTGACATCCCCAGCCCAAGAAAAGAGTTCAGTGCATGTGCTATTGGCTGCAAAGTATACATTACGGGAGGGCGGGGGTCTGAAAATGGAGTCTCGAAAGATGTCTGGGTTTATGATACCCTGCATGAGGAGTGGTCCAAAGCTGCCCCTATGCTAGTGGCCAGATTTGGCCATGGCTCTGCTGAACTGAAGCACTGCCTGTATGTTGTCGGGGGGCACACGGCCGCAACTGGCTGCCTCCCAGCCTCCCCCTCAGTCTCTCTAAAGCAGGTAGAACACTATGACCCTACAACCAACAAATGGACCATGGTGGCCCCACTCCGAGAAGGTGTCAGCAATGCGGCAGTAGTGAGTGCCAAACTTAAGCTGTTTGCTTTCGGAGGTACCAGCGTCAGTCATGACAAGCTCCCCAAGGTTCAGTGTTACGATCAGTGTGAAAACAGGTGGACAGTACCAGCCACCTGTCCCCAGCCCTGGCGTTACACAGCAGCAGCTGTGCTGGGTAACCAGATTTTTATTATGGGGGGAGATACAGAGTTCTCCGCCTGCTCTGCTTATAAATTCAACAGTGAGACTTACCAGTGGACCAAGGTGGGAGACGTGACAGCAAAACGCATGAGTTGTCACGCTGTGGCCTCCGGAAACAAACTGTACGTGGTTGGAGGATACTTTGGCATTCAGCGATGCAAAACTTTGGATTGCTACGATCCAACATTAGATGTGTGGAACAGCATAACCACAGTCCCATACTCGCTGATTCCTACTGCATTTGTCAGCACCTGGAAACATCTGCCTTCTTAAACGCAGTACATCCTAAAGAAAGTGAGCATGAGGTAAGAACTCGGTTTAGCTGTAAGTATGCATATAATTCAGCTAACTGTGTAAGTTTTCAATGGGGAGTGAGACATGGTCCATATAGCCTGTCCTATAGAAGTACTACAAAAACTATAAAAATAAAAGAACTTGTACTCCAAAACTTAAAACACTTGTGTTGACCGTACCTATAGCTCCCTACTCCTACCATAACACATGTAAGCCAGTGATTTTCAGCCTCAGACTCACCCAGAGAGCTTTGTAAAAATTACCCATTCAGAGACTTGGTTCCATTTGGTCTGGGTGGGGCCTAGGTCTCAGCATTTCTAGAAAGTGCTTCGGTGATTCTGAAACACAGCCAGGTTGAGAATCCCTGACCTATGTTAATAATGCCATCTAGTGTTTTGTGAGTCCTCACTGTGTGTCTGGTCCTGGGCTGGGTGTTTCATATGCACCATTTCATTTAATCCTCACAATAACCTTGTGAGATATTATTACTAGAACATTTTACAGACGAAAACACCTCATGCACACAGAGGTTAAGCAAGTTGCCCAAGGTCATAGAGCTTACTAGACGGAAGAATTGGTCAAGAAGTCAACCCCAGCAGTCTGTCTCCAGAGTGTAAGCACTTGAGCATCATGTAGAACTGCCACTTCATAAACTTGAGCTTCATATTGGTGTCACCCCAGGAGATACTTGTTTAGATACAAATTTAGCTTCCTCAAACTCTTTCTGGAATGAAGTAGCATTTTAAAAATTGAATGCTTAATTTTTTTCCTATTCTCTCTAAAATTAATTGGCTTATTTAAATTTTTTTGCCACCAAAGAGAAAAATAGCCCCCTTTGGGGGCATTTATTAACTTCAGAGGGAAATTTAGGTCTGTCCTTGTAAAAGCTTGCACCTGCATTGTATAAATTTGTCTGATGTGTGGATATACTGAGCCATCTAAACTGCCCTTAACGACAGCCTTTCAGAGTTAATGAGACAGGCTGACCCTATTGTCAGGGCTAACAAAAGTTGTGTTTCTGTGTCATATATATGAGTACATAATGGTTGTCTTGTGTACTTAAGAGTATATAATACTCTTGGCTCAAATAATTAATAGGCCTGCACAGTTCAGTGTTCGTGAAGCTAATAGCCGCGTTGCTGCCGTTAAGCATTCTTCACATTGGCCCCAGGAATCACTTAAGCGTGTCTAAATGCAGCACAGAGCACACAGAGTGTGTTGGTTTGTTTTGGTGATTCATGGCCTTTTTACATTACTAATAATAGAATGAGGTTTAAAACTCCGGAGGAACCACAGTAAAAACCAATTCATTACTTCGAAAATTTTGGCTCTGTTTTTCCTAGTATGTTTCACACCTTCGAAGAGAACTTTCACAGGGAAAAAAGGAAATTAGGGGTCGTTGCAAGCTAGGCGAAGAGGGGTTTCGGACTCATTCGTCTTTTCTTTCCTTGTGTCTTCAAGCTCGTTTAAGAACACCATGAAAATTGCCCTCACTTTCACACTTAATCTTTCTATTTATTTTATTTCTTCAGTTATCTCCTCCAGTCCATTCCAGTTAGTAGAGTTCTTAGTAAAGTAATGCTTCCTGGGAATGAGACTCCTTCTGAGGCACAGGAACAGTCAGAAGCCTCTTCTCGGGAGCTACTGGGCTAAGAGCGTCCCACACCAAACTGGTTTTTGCTGCCTTGCTGGCATCTCAGTAATCCTGAATAAACAAATGCTCTGAAAGTGGTTATTTCATTTGTGATATGAATGCATGACTCACCTCTAAAGCAGGTTTAAAGAACCTCCTAGGGTAAAGCATCAATTAACAGCCACTAAGTTGGGTTTTAATCCAGAACTGACTATATTTGTGTAGAAGAGCCATAAAAATTGCCAGTGATGGCAATGGTACATCAAAATAGTAACTGGTAGACTGACTGGCATCTTTGGAGCAAGGTAAGCAAGTTGAGGCAGAAAAAGATCACATATGCATTCTGGTTCTGGTTTTGAGCTATGGAGTCTAGACCTTTCTGGACTTTGCTCCTTTGTCAAATGAGTGCTTTGTATTATGCTTCCCCAAAGATCTGTTCCATTTCAGACTTGGGTGAATTGATAAATGAGGAGGAAAAAGAAAATGGTGAAAATACCTAGCTCAGTGCCTGGCATGTGTAAAATTAAGTGTTCAATACTCTGAGGTTTCTTTCCTCTCTCTAATTTAGACCATAGCTTGCAGCGGAATTAGCTTTGTGTGTGGTGGGAAAATGAAGTTTCTTTGACTATTATCTGCTTGTTATCTTTATACTCCATTTTTGGTGCCTCCTTTCTCAGCCCAGAGTATGTTGGCAAACACTTGAATTCACCCTTTGCTGGATATTTGAACCTCATCACACACTTCCGGTCCCATGGAAACAGAGCAAATAAAGTGTTAGGTTGTATGTGAAATAACATCCTGTCTGCCCTTGGTGCTACCAGCCAGAGAGTCAAGCACATCACAATGAAATTTGACAGGACTAGGTTTGCCTTTTTAAAGGCAGGGGCCTGATCAAAGCCACTCTTGCAGTTTCCGACAGGGACAATGTTGGTTTAAATTGCTAAAGTTTACTACACGCAAGATAGTGTTAAAACACTTAAGCTGGATGGAGTGACTTAAAAGAGGTGCTGTGTAGATATCAGTCCTAAACTGCAAAAACTTGGGGGACGTCTCTTTGCTCTCCACATGTAGGTGCTAACTGAATTAATACAGTGTTAACAAAAAGTTCCCCCTGGTCTAAAAGCTCATCCACCAGGGAGAGTTGCTCTGTCAGCGAGTGGGAGGGAGAAAAAGGAAAATTACTTTTGATTAGTCTCCATTTTCATGGTGCTGTGTGGCCCCCACCTGACAGCATTTAGATTCTGATTTGCTTTGTTTCTTCCCTTTTTAGAATTCTTTTCTTTTGGTGGTGGTTTCTTTTCCCAGTATGCAACACCTTGAAATTTTATATTATTACAAGATACATTCTTTCGGTCTGATGTTGATATATAGGTTACAAGGAGGTGGGGGTAGGGGGATGAGACTGTAGTCTAAGGAATGCCTTGAAAGCTTGAATCACTGTTATGAAACTGCCAAAAGAAACAACTAATGAAATGAATCAGACTTCTGAACACACAAAAGCGAGAAGAATTCAATGCAAGTAATAAGCAGCCCCTCCTGAATTCCGTTTGTCCATAGAGTTATAGCAATAGGGATGCAGATTCCTATCAAGGCTAGAAATAATGCTCCGTGAACAGGTGAAGTGAGCTTTTGAAAGACAAAAACCCTCTGCAAAATTTCCCTATGTATAGCATTAGACATAAACTAATGGGAAGGGTGGGTAGTGTGGGGAAATGCCAGCTCCCATGAAAAGTGCAGGCTTCGTGGTTTTGGCACGTTGAATTTATATTCACACTTGATGTTGGAAGATTCTGTTGCTAATAACACTGCATACCAAAGCTGGTGTCTCCCAAGTGTGGACTGATGAACTTCAAGAATAAACCCCAGCCTTGGGCTGTTGAGGCCTGGTATGTTGTCATGTGAAAGGAAGCGAGACTGATTTCTGCCATGATGAATAGCGGAGATGCATTTAAATAAGAGGATTAATATGGCTGCCCTCTGTATGGCGAATACATTGAATTTGGAATCCTTCAGGATAAATGGGCCAAAGAGGGTTTTCACAGGAATCTTTCTTGACCCTCTGGTAATCGCTTCACAGTGGCTCTGTTTAACCACGGAGAGGATTTACAAATGTTGGAAGCGGAAGATGGCAACTGATAACAGCACCTAGACGTATAGGTTTGATTTTGAACATATATGTGTTTAGGAAAGAAGTGAAGAGCCTTCTTTGGACAGCGTTGTTTCTTTCGGGCCAGCCATCTGCATGCGTGATCACGTGTATGTGCATTTAAGGCAAGTGCATCACATACCTTTGCACAGTTTCCACCGAATACGTGGTTCAGACCTTTAGAAGCAGTATCGACCAGCTCTGTCTTGAGTCGATTTTTTTTTTTTTTTTTAAAGATTGTGAGGCTACTAACAATCTTTTTCTTCTGTTTCAGCTCACTTCCTTTGATGAGACAAAGATCCAGTTTCTACCTTGGAGAAGTTAATGAAGAGAAAAAAGGAAAAAGGAAGAGAAGTCGTTCTGAGACTCAGATTGTACAATCGGCTGCACCTTGTAAATGCTCTAACTGGACATGAAGGAAGGGGTGGGGGAGGGGTGGGATTTTCAGTGCAAGCAGCACATGGTTTAAATATGAGTGAATGGACCTGTGATCTCGTCCTTGTCTTGTAATTGTGGATTAATGTCAGCGTTAATCAGCCCTTCAAAGGGAGAGAAAAGCCGGGCCTTTTCCCTTGCTGTACCATAGTCAGCATTTGATTTCCATGGGCTCCACCATTTATGTGTAAAATTTGAAATGGTTGTCACCTCTCTCCGAGGAGCAAGCTTGAAGCCTCCACACCAGCTGTTGTTGGAGATTGAAAGCCCAACTGTGGGGCCAGGAGGGAAGCTGGCGGTGCTGGCTACAGAGTGAGGACCACTGGACTCTTCGCTAATCTCTGAGGGATTGTGCTCCCCAGAAAGGTTTCTGAACAATGGGGACATTGTTGGGAGCTGTTTGGTAGATGTTCTTTTCTATTTCTATTTATAAGACTTTAAACTTTCCCTTGGCTGTTAAGGAATTTGTTATAGATTTAGCTATTTATTGTTTGATACCTGCATGCTGAAACAATGCTTACAGTTGTCTTCACATGTATGGACGTGTGTGAGTGGTTGTACGTTTTGCACAATTCTGTGGCTGTTGTGATGTGCTTTGCTGCACATAAACGGAAACTTAGGAGTTACAATTTGGAATATAACTGGAGGGTGGGTTGGGAAGGGGAGGGATTTTGTAAATGTCAAGACAGGGACTGATTACAAAACAGAAACTTAAAGTACATCTTAGAGGTAGAGAAAGCATGGAGATCACTTTTCTTGGACTCACCAACTTTTAATGAGGTTTCGTGGGCTCTGGGCATGCTGGTGGCTCATGGGGTGAGGGAAGGCTTCTTTCCGCCTCTCTCCTTCCTATCTTATTCACCTCCTTCAGTCTCAGCTACTGAAATTTAGAAAGGACCAAATAGCTTTGCCATTTTTTTTCTTTGTGTAGTATCCTGAAATCCTGGAAAATTCTATGGAATACTTCTGTATATAGGGCACAGGTAAAGGCATAGTCCAAAGTTTATTTATTTATCTATTTATTACCCTGTGAGAATGCTTTGCCATAACTACAGTTAATAGGAAAGAAAACTGAATTATCACAGTCAATTCATTCAGATTCATTGTTCTCTGTTCTTGCTGTACAATTTAGCAAGTGCAACAAGTTCTCCAAAACAATATTAGCATTAGTACAATGTATACTTTAGTGCTCGCTCTTAGGTAAGTCTCCAAAAGAACTCTTTGGTGCATAAAAGTGACACATTTGGCCACAAAACACCAAAGAATCGTAAGCAGTGGCCCACGTTGAGGTTTCCCGGGATAGTGGGGAATCGATTGTGAATACTTTCTTTGCTAGTTTGCGTGCTTGTTTACTAAACATGTGCTGTGATAGGTGTTAGTGCTAGACTCAAATAGGTGCTTTCTCAGAGATGTCTGAGGAAGAACAGAGTTTGCAGCTCTCACACTGCTTTCATTGATGTTTCTCACATTACTTTAGAAAATAAGGTTTAAGACTGGTAACAACTTTTGCATTGTGAATGTGCTTGCATTGTCTAATGACAGATAAATCCTTAACATTACTTTCCACCTGAAAACTTTAGACTAATTGTACATGTCCGTGCCATGAATTAGTTGAGCCGTTGGAATAAAAGAATCACAGTACTTTCTAGCAGTCTTTTGCTCATAGATGTGTTCTAAGCAATGCAAATTGTACCCTGGCAGCATAGTTGGGTGTCATTATAGTGTAGCAGTTTCAGCTCTGTAGTTTATGATGCAAATCGGCCGAGATGTGTCACTGCATGGCTTCTGAAAGCAGGATGAATTTTCTGCAGCTGTTTCAGAGTTACGGTCTGTCCTTGAATCCTCTATTAATTACTGTGTGTGAGCCAGAGGGAGCCGTGGTCAGAGTGGGCCCCCAGCCTGCAGGGAACTTTCTGGACTCCCGCTCTTTGAATTGATGTAGGCATTTGGACTCACTACTTGACCATTCTCACCCTGTGAAACGTCCCACACTTTGAAGCAAATACAATTCACAGCACAGTGCACACAAAAACCTTGGCATAAGACAGAGAAGGTTCTTCTTATTCTGTGGACTGGTTGCTGTGGAAACAGATAACAAAGGGCAGCCTTCCACTTCTGGTATAATTGTGTAGCCCCCTTTTCTCTGGGCTTGACACCTGTCTGAATAAGAGTGATTAGAGCTGAATAATATCCCTCTCTTAGCTATTGAATATGTGGTTCACGTACAAAACTGTGTAAGCTGAAGAAGTGTTCATGTTCATATGTGCTTGTTTCCTACTACTACATTTTTGAGGTTTTGTAAAACTTTTTTTTTTTCACAATGTGAAACTGAAGGTCAAATAAATTATTAGAGATTTTCTCTTCATTGTGTGTGGGGGTCTTTATTTGAATACGACATAATTTTAGCTGTTGAAAACTTGTGTCTGTTCTACTTCGATGAAAAGGAGGATCATTTCAAATATTTTCTGAATGTCCTTTATTTCACCATGGAGTTATGTACCTTTATCAAAGCAATTTTGCACATTAATAATTAAAAATGTTAACTTTTTGGGATATTTCTTTAAGCAAAGGAAAATACTTCAGCTGCGGGTTATTCATAGCTTAGAATATAAAAAGTCATGTATGTGCTACATTAAGACAGCATACTTTAGGAAGAATTTAGTTTTTGTATTCCTCATGTGGGTTATATTTTGATAGGAAAGCTGTGAGAGAAGGGACTAGAGTTCAATCCTTTTTTCATCTGACATCGCCTTAGAAATCATTTAAGTAAGTGGAAATATGTGCATATTATTTCCCTGTAACAGCCCAGAAAACCACAAGTTTAACCCCTCTGGCACACTTTAGCTTCTTCCAAGTCGAAAGCCGCTGGCTCAGCTGGCTCAGCTTAAAGCCAGATGAAGCCCCTTGCCCCTACCTCATGGTCGCTTAGTGTCACATGAGATGCTCCTTTATAACTTGGGTTGTACCCCTTGCTGTTTTAATGTGCAGAGTAACATTGGACATAATCTTTTTTGGATAGAAAATAAATACTAGCTAATTGGACGTCTGGGAGAGCTCATGAGTAGGCAGAGGGCAGTTACGGCCTTTGGACTTTGACCAAGATGCCAGGGCAGATGCCTCAGGTTTTACAGAAGAATCACTCAGCTCTGCGCTATGTGAGGCTGGTCTACAGCCAAGACTTGGGAACAAGCATCTGAGTCGTTGAGTCCCAAGCACACGATGCTGGTGACCCACGGAAACCCTGTTGGTGACACCATGTATGACACCACGTGACAAGGAAGAAGAGAGAGTTAGTTAGCAGTTGAGAATCCGACACATGGGACTTGGATGTTAAGGAAAAGCTTTGATGTTATTCCTCAGAAGGGTTGAGAATGGTTCATACAGGGTCGATTGGGAACCGACCTTTCATGCTCTAGAATTATTTTTATCATCTCAGTTGGGGAATGTAGACAGATTGGAGTAAAGAAGATACTTCAAATTCTTAATTTCCATTCATTTGGAAATTTTATTGCGTTCAGACATTCAGATCACCCGAACAGCGGCTGTGTTAGTTGGGATTGCCTTCGCCTGCATGTAGTAGGAATCGCACTGGTAAAAACCATTTGGAGGCTGGCAGTCCAGGGGTGGGACAGGACCCCTACAGGGCCATTGGGGGTCCGGGCCCTTCTTTCTGCTTTGCCATCCTGGACATGGGCCTTTGGTCTTTATGTTTGTGGGAAGACGGTGGTACCTCATGGCATTACTTGTGCTTTCCAGGCAGCAAAGATAAGACAGACTAAAGAGAAAAGGTGTGTGCCAGATGAAGCTCTTTTTTTTGAGATAGTAAGAATTTTCCCAAAAGCCCCACCTTGGAGACAGTTCTCTCTTGTTAACCAGAACTAGGTCACATGGACTTCCAAAGAAAGAGAGGCTGAGGAGAGGAGTGCTTTTATCAGAGCTGCACAAAAATGTGATTTTGTTGCTAAGCAAGAAAGGGAGAATGGACATTGGATGGGCAACTGCTGCACAGGATCTGTTACAGTGAATAATCAAAGGGTCATTTGCAACCACAGCCCTGCTGAGTGATTACAATGTGCTGGGGACTGCACTAAGGACATGCTTCACAGTCATCTTATTTAACCCTTACAACAAATGTAGAGCAGAGAGATAGAGAGGTTTCTTAACATCTCTGAGCCTCTGCCCCTCTATCTATAAAATAAGGATGATTAATATTCTCTATCTAATAGGAAGATTTAATAATATGTAAATTTAAGCAGAAGCATCGAGCTCAGTGCCTGGCACATAGTAGGTTCTCAAAACTTTTCAGCTGTCATTTTTAGACACCACTGGGAGAGATTGTGTTAAAGCAAAGGTTTGCATGCCCATCACCTTATTTCATCCTCACAGCAACCCTAGGAGAGCAGGCACAATTATTACCCCCATTTTGTAGATGAAGATTTTGAGCGATTATTCAACTTGCCCAAGGGAGTGGTGGAGCCTGGATTTCCAGGTGCACTCTATGACCTGCTCCTCTCAGTCCAGGAATGTGGAAGAAGGTGTTTCACGGGGTAAGGCTGACTGTGGGAAACCCTGGGTTGCCTGTCCATCGTGTCTGGGAAGACTGACTACGTGGGAAGGTCTGAGATGGCCTGTAGCAGGTGAGTCCCACCCCTGAACTTGAGGAAAAAGTCTACTCAGCAACTCAAAATATTCCTTGACCACAGGTTTCTGAAGAAAAGATTGTGGAGAGTTGTTATATTTGTTAATTCGTTGAGCTGTACACTTATGCTTTCTGTATTTTTTTTGTTTGTATAATGACTGTTGACTGAGAGATTAAATATACAGACAATGTCCAGACCATAATAAAAATAGAACTCAGACCCACAACTTGAAGCAGTTGGCCTAAGAAACCAACCCGTTCTCTACAGTAACCGACCCAGGAAACCTGCCAGCAATCTACAAGTCAGACTTGCAGGAAGTCAGACCACTATCTCTAGCAGTTGGTCCAGCAAGCCAAACAATAACCTCTGAAACAATTGGCACAAAATGGCCAGAACCTGATTGATAACTAATACCTTCCCTAATTTTTGTCCCTGCTTCCAACCGAGACCAACTAGAGAAAGTCAAATATGCACCCCTAGCCATCACGCAGGAGCCCCACTTCTAGTTAACTTCCCCCACCACCAGCCTACAATCAGGGAGCACCTGGAGCTTTCTCTCTCCTCCACTACAAAGCTTCTCCATTCCTCTGACTGCCTTTAAGTCTCTACCAAAACACAAGTGAAGTGACTGAGTCTCTTGCTATAGCAAGGTCTGAATAAATAGCCCTCGCCTGTTCTCATTTAGCTGGTCTTTATTTCCACAAATGTTTCTTGAATAAAATGATTAAATATCTTTCATAAAAAGTTTCATAAGAATGAAGTAGGTACCAACATTGTGGGTCCTGGGTAAGCTGAGTTTTCAGAAAGATGCTTTCGTTTTGAATGTCAGTATAAATGAAATGTACACAATATATATAATATGAGAAAAATGGATTTCGAGTTAATGGGGTTGAGATTAGGTCATCTGGTTTGCCAAAAGGAGAGCAGTTGCTTTGTTTGGGAATATTTTTAATAAAGTGAGAACACTTAAATAAGTTTTACAGCCGAATTCACGGTGCACTTGAATTTATGAATAAATGCAAAAACTTAGCAGTTAATTCCTGGTCTTGCCTGTCACAAATCTTAAGTACTTTGCCTGTCTGACACATACTCAGACAAGCCATCTGTCCTGCATTCGAGTTTAATCATAGACAATGAATGTTAAAGCTCTGTTATTTGTCAGACATTGGACAACTATGTGCAAGACCTAACTTTCAGAGAAAAAAACATGTATATTGGAGCATGAGCATGAATTAAAAGCAATTCAACTAAGTAAATTATAAACCTACCATAATCTCATCCAGCTCTGTTTGTAGCCCAGCTTGCTTTGTGAGTCTGAGGGAAACCAAATGAGACAGTTTCTCAATCTCTCTCTTTCTCTCATCTTGTTTCCTTGGCAACTATAATCTTTATCTGTGCAAAGATGGGGGACTGCATTAGAGGAAAGGCAGTTGGAATTTCAGCAAAGTCTCTCACTAATCCTTCTCGTGTTATCAGATGGTTTGTTTTGTTATGAAAAGTTATTTTACACCCACTTCTTAGATAGTGCTGGGAGTGTATATCAGATATCTTAGAAATGCCACTAGGATATTTCCCACCCACAAGATATGCTAACATTGTAACCACAAAGAAGATGAAATCAGCCTGTTGGTACACTTATAACTGGGCACCTGTGAAGTGAGAACTAAAATGTCTCTATGTCTGAGGTTCTAACATATAGGAAAACTCTAAATTGCAAACACCCTTGTCCCATTCAGCCACCCACATACGTTCTGGCCAAGGCATTGCTGCCAGGAGAATCATTCTAAGAGAACAAATCTTGGAATTTTGCAATTATTTGTATACTCCGAAGGGAAGGACAGGAGAAAGAGGAAAAAGCAGAAGATACTCTCAGGGAGATGTGGCTGACTTCACATCCCTTTCTGGCACTTCCTGAGAGTGCACCTGTTCAAAAGATGAAGGGGGTCAGACAGTACCCTTTTTCAAAATGGAAATACCTAAGTCCCATTTTGGGGGCTGTTAGTCATTCACACATTCATATAATCAGGCCACTCTGAAGGGTAGGTAGGGAGTGCTGACAAGATGCATTAGGAAACCCTAGGGGCACTTGCCTAAGTGAGACTCAGACACTAAGGCATACCCAGGGGAGCACCAGGGGGTAGGAGGCCTGTGGGTGTGGTAGTAGCAGGTGGGGGAAGAATGAGAAAGGCAGAATTTTACTTTAAAATATTATGGTTAAGGAAGAGGGAGGGATGAATACATAGAGCACAGATTTTTAGGGCCATGAAACTACTCTGCATGATACTACAATGAGGGATATATTTCATACATTTGTCAAGACGAATGGAATATACAAGAATGAACCCTAATGTAAACTATAGACTTTGGGTGATAGTGATGTGTCAATGTAGGCTCCTAACAGATGTAACAAAGGCACCATGGTGGCAGACAGGAGGTTGTGTGCCTCCGTGTGTGTGTGTGTGTGTGTTAGTGGAAAACTCTGTACTTTGCTTTCAATTTCTCTGTGACCTAAAACTGCTCTAAAAAATGCCTATTAAATGTCCCCCCAAATTACATTAGAAACAAGAGTCTTTTGGGGACATCAAAAGATTGTTTCATCCAGTCAAGCATACAGTATATATATATATATATATAATTTAAAATGTTACTATGGGTGGACTCCATGTGCTAGAAATAGAGAAGTCTCTTCCTCCGATGCCTGCACTCGTGGTCCCAGGACCTGGAA